AAAAAAAAAAAAAAAAGAAAAAAAAAGACCTTAGGTTTGGCCTAAGTTCAGACCAGCCAGGTCTTGTGCTGGACCTGGAGCAGTCAGGCCAGGGCTCTGTTTTTGAGCCCCTAGGTGGCAGCAGTGGGCAGTGTTGGCTGTGGGCTCCATTACCAGATGGCCCCTCTTCTCTTCTATTTAAGGGGATGGGGTCCCACTGAAGAGGGTCTGATGAGGAGGCTCAGGGTAGCTGGAGGTGGGAGGTGGCACAGGCAGATGATCTCTGCTCTAGGGGAGTTGGCCTTTGGGGTGAAGAGGTTCCCTGGCCACAGGGAGTGGGGCAGGCTCCCTGCCAGCAGAGTATAGAGTGAGTCTTTAACCTGCTGGGCTAGTGCATGGGCGCCATCTTTGCTGGCCACCTCGTGGTGCACCTGACCGCCGTCTCCATTGATCCAGCAGATGCCAACGTCCGGGACAAGAGCTATGCGGGCCCCTTGCCCATCTTTAACCGCAGCCAACATGCACACGTCATTGAGGACCTGCATTGCAATTTGTGCGACGTGGATGTGTGAGTGCGTGTGTGTGTATGTGGGTACAAGTGGGTGCGGAGTATGCCTGGGGACTAGCAGGGGGTGCATGGCAGAAAGGAGCTGCTAGGGCTTCACAGTTATCCTGGTACTTCAGAAGACCAGACATAGTGGCTTAAGAATGGAATCTTAGCCCTTTGTAAGGGTGAGGCAGGAGGATTACTTGAGGCCAGGAATTCAAGACCAGCCTGAGGAACATAGCAAAACCTGGTCTTTATTAAAAAAAAAAAAAAAAGGGCCGGGCATGGTGGCTTAAACCTGTAATCCTATTACTCTGGGAGTCTGAGGCGGTAGATAGCCTTAACTCAGGAGTTCGAGACCAGCCTGAGCAAGAGTGAGAATCAGTCTCTAAAAATAGCTGGGCATTGTGGTGGGCACCTATAGTTCCAGCTAGTTGGGAGGCTGAGGCAAGAGGATTAGCTGAGCCCAAGAGTTTGAGGTTGCTGTGAGCTATGATGCCATGGCACTCTACCCAAGGTGACAAAGTGAGACTTTGTCTCGGAAAAAAAAAAAAAAAGGATAGCTGGGTGTTGTGGGCAGGCACCTGTAGTCCTAGCTACTCAGGAGGCTGAGGCAAGAGAATGGCCCTAGCCCGAGCTGGAGGTTGCTGTGAGCTGTGACACCACAGCTCTCTACTGAGGGCAAAAAAGTGAAGACTGTCTTTAAAAAGAGAGAGAGAGAGGCTTGGCGCCTGTGGCTCAAATGGCTAAGGCGCCAGCCACATACACCTAAGGTGGCGGGTTTGAATCCAGCCCGGGCCCACCAAACAACAATGACGGCTGCAACCAAAAAATAGCCGGGTGTTGTGGCAGGTGCCTGTGGTCCCAGCTACTTGGGAGGCTGAGGCAGTAGACTCGCTTGAGCCCAGGAGTTGGAGATTGCTGTGAGCTGTGATGCCACAGCACTCTACCCAGGGGGAAAGCTTGAGGCTCTGTCTCAAAAAAAAAAAAAAAAAAAAAGAGAGAGAGAGAGAAGGCAGCCTGGCATGGCGGCTTGCACCTATATTCCACCCACTATTCCAGAGGCTGAGGCAGAGAATCACTTGAGCTCATGAGTTCAAGGCTGCAATAAGGTATGATGGCATCACTGCACTGTAGCATGGGGAATAGAACAAGACCCTGTCTTAAAAAAAGAATCTTGGAGTGACAGAGAAGACCCTGAGAAGGTGATTGGGTGACTGGAAACAGAAGATGTGAAAGAGCATTCCAACAGTTGAAGTAGGAAACAATTGGTACTGCCACAAACATTTCTAGTGACTGATTCTGCGAATGCCATCTCCCCATCTCTTAGAAGCATTCCCACTTGGGGCAGGGAGGAGAGTTAACGCTTGAGGACTCCCTATGTGCTAAGCACAGTGCACAGCCATCCTGCAAGGTGGGCAGCATTTTCTCACTTCACAGAGGAGGAAGAGCCCAGAAAGGCTGACAGGCCTGCTGAAGTCCTATAGTTACTAACACAAGAGCCATATCCACAACCTGGCTGCCTAGCCCTAAGCAGACCCACATTTCCCCATGAGCAGTCTGAGGCCAAGAGAGGCCAAGCAACTTGCCCCAGGTTACACTCCTGTTGAGGAGAGGAGTCAGAATGTAAAGCACCCATATCTTCTGGCTGATCCCAGCTACCTCTATGGAGGCCTTCCCCAACCTTCTGGAGCTTCCCAGTCTCCCCCCTCAGGTGGGAGATAAGGGATGAGGATGTGGTCCAAGGCTAGAGCCACATGTCTAATCTGAAGACCCAGGCAGCCAGTCAGAATTCTGTCCCCTGGAATTAGAAGCCTACAGTGGTAAGGTGTGAAGGACCTGGTCATGAGGCCACCCTGCCATACACTAGGTACCAGTCAGCCTGGTGTCTCTGGGTGGCTGCTCTGGCGGTTGGTGCCCATTGCAGGGCTCTGTCTTTTCTGGGGAGGGGGTGGTGCCGCATTCTCCCACACTCCTTTGGGCCTTCGGAGGTTGGGAAATTCTCACCTGCATGCTAAGTGTGGCTACCCCTCAGCTGACCTCCTGCAGTGAGCTGCCTTCATACCCACCCAGATGGCAGCTTGCTCCTCTTTTTTTTTTTTTTTTTTTTTTTGAGACAGAGCCTCAAGCTGTCCCCCTGGGTAGAGTGCCGTGGCATTACAGCTCACAGCAACCTCCAACTCCTGGGCTCAAGCGAGTCTCCTGCCTCCGCCTCCCAAGTAGCTGGGACCACAGGTGCCTGCCACAACGCCCGGCTATTTTTTGGTTGCAGCCGTCATTGTTGTTTTGGCGGGTCCGGGCTGGGGATTCGAACCCACCACCTTAGGTGTACGTGGCTGGCGCCCTAGCCGGGGAGAGCTATGGGGGCGGAGCCAGCTTGCTCCTCTTGTGACTCCTTTCTTTTTTCTTTATTCTTGACTTTTTTTTTTTTGAGACAAAGTCATACTCTGTTACCTGGGTAAAATGCTGTGATATCATCATAGCTCCACAGAACCTCAAACTCTTGGTCTCAAGCGATCCTCTTGCCTCAGCCTCCTGAGTAGCTGGGACTACAGGTGGCCACCAGTATGCTTGGCTACTTTTTCTATTATTATTTTTTTTTTTAAGTAGAGAAGGGATCTTGTTCTTGCTAACGCTGATCTCAAACTCCTGAGCTCAAGTAAACCACCCGCCTCAGTCTCCCAAAGTGTTAGGATTACAAGCGCCTGGCCCACGGCTCCCGGCCTATGCTTTTGACTAGTACACAGACTGTTTTTTGGAAGAATGCCAGTAAAATGCCCGTAGAATGGCAGGGAAAAGGGGAATGGAAATGTCAGGAAGAGCAACGCAGGCCCTGGTCCCGGTAGCCTTGCTGTCCTGCTCCCTGCGCCCTACACCTGCATCTTCTGGCTTGTCGCTGAGGTTCTTTGGGAGGGAATCCCCTTTTCCGTTTCATATCACCCTCACCTAGGTGTGCGGTCCATAGCACAACGCGCTCCCAACCCCTCCTTGTCCTTTGGGGCCCCTCCTCGCGGTGCCTGCAGGGGGCGCGCGCTCCTCTGTGTGGCGAAGGAAGCGGCTGGAGTCCTCCCCGGAGCCGCAGCGCTGGCGGAATGAGCCTGCTGACCGCACGGTGCCCCTCGCCCGCAGGAGTGCCCGCTCCAAGCACTGCAGTGCCTGCAACAAGTGCGTGTGCGGCTTCGATCACCACTGCAAGTGGCTCAACAACTGTGTGGGCGAGAGGAACTACCGGTGAGAGTGGCCGGGCTGCAGGGGGCCTGGGTCGTGTGTTTGCGGGCGGGGCCCGGGCTCCCGCGTGGAAGGCGGCGCGGGGATGGTTGCTCTGAGACAGTGATGCTTCTGCAGTGCCAGTGGGGACGACTGAGGGTGGGTTTTGGGGTCTTCTGCCTTGCTGGCCCAGAGAAAGGTGGCACCAGATGAGGTGGCCCCCCCAGCTTTACTTTGGTTTGTACTTTTGGCTTCTGAAGAGTTGGGGCTGTGGGCTAGAGGTGCAGGCCCCCACCCCCAGCTGTGAGCCTTTCTGAGCTCCTGGCCTTACTAAGCTGGAGCACACAGATGCTGACAGCGGCTGGTGGTTGGGTCCAGGCTCTTTCTACAGAGTGTAGCATCTGCTTTACTGGGTGTCCTGCTCCTGGTGCTGGTGGCCACTTATGTCTTTGTGGAGTTCTTTGTCAACCCTATGCGGCTGCGCACCAACCGACACTTTGAAGGTCAGTTTAGGCCCCAGGCCCATTCCTACCCCCGACCCTGGGTCTGTTCTGGTCACTGGTCAGGGCCCTGGCTGGTTGCACTTTGCCTGTGCTTTGCAGTCCTGAAGAATCACACAGATGTGTGGTTTGTGTTCCTGCCTGCTGCCCCTGTGGAGACCCAGGCTCCTGCCATCCTGGCCCTGGCTGCTCTTCTCATCCTTCTGGGCCTGCTCTCCACAGCCCTGCTTGGCCACCTGCTCTGCTTCCACATTTATCTCAGTAAGTGCTCCTCCCCACCTGCCCTGCAGGGTATGTAGGTCCTTAGGCTGCAGGGAGGACCCTAATTGGGCTGTAGACTCCTGAAACTATGCCCCTTTCCACTGCTGGTTCTTTATGATGGCCTGGTCTCACCCTAAGACTTAGTGTATTTGGGGACGCTGGTTTCAGCCTGTAGCTGGGTGCCCTCCTTACCCTTATGAGTTCCAGGGTCCCCTCTCCATTGCACTGAGCCCTCTCCCCCCCTCCCAGTTTGGCACAAGCTCACCACCTATGAGTACATCGTGCAGCACCGCCCACCACAGGAGGCAAAGGGGGCCCACAGGGAGCTCGAGTCATGTCCCCCCAAGATGCGGTCCATTCAGGTATAGAGGTGGCCCAGAGGGCTGAAGGGTGGGAAATGGGGCTGGTGTTGGGAGTGTGGGGGGCTGTGTAGAGAGCAGCAGTGAGGATGCAGAGCATGGAAAACCAGCCTGGAATTGCCTCTGGAGGACGGATATTGGGGGCAGCTGGGGCTAAGCCTGTACTGAGCACCTGCCCATTTGCTTAAGTGTGGACACAGCCAGAGGGAGCTGTGTGTTTCCCCGGCCCTGGCCTCATGTGCACACCTGTCCAGGCTCTAAGCATGCACTGGAGGGCTTGGAATGTGGGAGCCCTGAAGCAGACAGGTTGGGGCTGCAGAAGAGAGAGGGATGGACCAGTGACCAGGACTGCAGCCAGTATTGGGACAGTGGCCAGGATGGAGCCATCAGTTATTTCCATCTGTGACCTTGAGCCCTTATACCCATTATCCTGCTTTATCCTTAGAACAGCCCATAAAACAGGTACTGTTGCCACACCCATGTTGCAGATGAGCATACTGAGGCTGAGAAAGGTTAAGTAGAAGCTGGGTCTAGGAGAGTTAAAGTCTTCCCACTCAGAAGCAGGGGCTCTGCAGCCTGGCCAGCCCAGTTGCTGACAAGCCTATCCCTATTCCCACGCCCCGTGGCTTCCTGAGGTCAGCAGCTGGGGGTGGGGTGGTCCAGTCCTCAGAGCCTCTAGGGACTGGGAAGGCAGGGGGCCCAGGCATGAATTGCTGGGAAGGCTGAGTGGTGGATCCTGAGTCCTCATGGCAACTGGACACAAACATAGGCTAGTGGGTGGATTGGGGTAGGGCTTGGGACCCCGCCTCTTCTGTTTTCATCCCCAGGGCTGGACCCTGCATGTGGGCCAGGCTGCCAGGACTGTGCAGGCCTGGGCCTGGAGCATGCTGGCTGTTGGTGGAATCCTCTCTGCCACACCACTGTATACCTGCCCTGGTGCTAGGCACTGGCCTATGTGAACACAGTGGCAGTCCTTCTGCCATGGACATCGTCACAGAGAGGACTGAGGCAGGCGAAGCAGGCAGGAGATTCACAGCTGGCATCCACTGAGGCAGAGCTGGCCCTGAGATGCCCAGACTCCAGGGCTCTGTGCCTCTGCTCTGCCTGATCTTTGGGGCCCAGTGTGGCAGCAGTTCTGTCCATCTAAAAATGATTCAAAGGAGGCATACTCAGAGGGTAGATGTGGTATGCTTATCCTCCTTTAGAGGGGAGAGAGCTGAAGCTGAGAAGTACCATGGTACCATTCAGGAATGTGCAGTTTTTTGAAGGTCTCTGAGGATGGGTCCTAGGGACAGCTGTGATGAAAGGAGGGGGATCTGAGTGAGGACCCACTGGTGAAACTCAGACTTCCCCAGCTGGTTAGGGCCTGGCTCCAGTCCCATCATCGCCCCTCCGGCTTCTGGGACAATCCTCTACCGCTGGTCCCTTCTCTGCCCCACCCTCCAGAACCTGGGTCCCCAGGGTGGGCTTTTCCCCTCTCTGCTGGGCCCTGGAGGGTGCTGGGTCCATACTGGGGAAGGGAAAAGATGTGGGGAGGGTACCCTGAGGTTCCAATCCCTATAATTCGCCTCTGTTCCCTCACCGTGAGCTCCCCTGTCCAGAATAGCACTCCCAGACCTCTTTCCAAAGGATCAGCCTGGGTAGACCTGGGTAGACTTTGGGCAGGGATGGCTGTCTGAGCTCTGTTCCCTAGATTTTGCAGGGCCCCTGTAAGCAGCCTCCCCACCCCCCACCCCAAGCAAGAATGCGGGAGGGGCCCCTCTTTGGAGCCGTTGCCCCCAAACATAGGCTTGTTTTAGAGACAGCGTTGCTTGTTACAGTGTCATTTCTGAGTTAGTCAGGACGCCTCGGTCTCCATGGAAATGGCTGCTGAGAGGGTGACAGCTGTCCGGGTGCGCCTGGATCCCAGGCCCCGCCCCTGCCCCGCTCACACTCTGTACCACGCCCTTCCCAGGCTGACTGGGCCAGGCTTTTGTTTCCTCACCTGCAGCCTTAGGGGCGGGTTGGGGCTCGTCCTTCGGGCTGGGATGTAGTCCTAAGCTGCTCCTGCGACCTCCCAGGTTCAAGGCCCTTCGCTGTTGCTTTTGGGGGTAGGGAGGCACATCTGCCACCCCCAAGGTTGCTGTGAAGATCAGCAATTAAGGAAGTCACAATTCACCCATAAGTCTGGTCCCAGATTGCAGTTCATTCCACCACTCACCTCCTTCCCTTTTAGGGTGAGGGCAGGGGAAACCATTCTTCCCCCCTCACCCCCACACCCAGCAGCTGGAACTGTGGCAGGCACTCTGTGAAGGTGAGGGCATGCCCAGGATTCAGCTCCTAGGGAGCAGGGAGCTGTGCACACAATCTCAGGTGCCCACTCTGGCCTGTGAACTGCCAGCTCTCAGCCAGGGGAAAAAAATCCATTCAGAGGCTGGAGCTCTGAGAAGGGCCAGTAACAGGAGAGGGCATCCCTGAGCTTCCACACCCCTCTGCATGGCTGAGCATCTCTAGAGGGGGTGTGTAGACCCACGGAGCTGGAGCCTTCCTGGGGAGGTGGAGTTTTGATTAAATGAAGTGAGGACCTGGGCCTGGGGCGAGGTCCAGTAAAGGGTGTTTAAAGCCTCCCTCTGCAGAGGGTTTTCCCAGCACAGGTGGGGACCAGGAGGACAGCCTTGGGGCGAGGCCTGGGGCATCTCACAGAAGCCAGTAAGGGTGGCCTGTGTTTGGGATGAGTAGGTTCAGGACTCAGGAGGTCCTTGAATCTGGTCTCCCAGCCCCCCTGACTCCCACCTTCCTCAGGAGACAGAGTTCTACATGCGGACCTTCAGCCACGTGCATGCACCACCCCCAGGCTGGGCCAGGCCAGCATCAGTGAATGCCAAGTGAGTTGGACCTAAGCCACCTGGACATCTCCCATTAGCATGGCAGGGCCATCCCAGGTGGGAGAAAAGGCATATAGGTCAAGACCAAGGCATGGGTCTGGGTACAGCCCAGCCTGGCTTTGAATAGATGAAGGCCGCTATCTGTTGGGAAAGGAAACTCTTATCAGAACCTCCAGCAGGCGGGTTTGCGGAGCAGCACCCAGGCTGACCTTCCTGCTTTCCCCTCAGTCCCTCCAGCCTTCTTGTTACCAGCGGCCAAGTGGAACGTCCACCGTCCTCCTCCCCAGACACTGTCGCTCTGCCTCCGGGGATCCGACCCCAGGTAGAAGGGACCAATGCCAGGCTCCCTGTCTAGTTGGAGGGGGGTGGAAAAGAAGCCTTCCTCTCTGCCATATGCCCCTGCTGCTTTGGCGACGTGGGGCCTTCAGTTTCTCCTGTGCCTCTGCAGAAAAAGAGTACGTGTCGCGTGTATAAGATTCCGAAGGCTGAGATTCTGCGGGGTGAGCACCCCTTCCTGTATGGATCTTATTCAGGGAACTCCGAGGGAGGGAAGAGCAGAGCCCGGAGTCGCAGCCCCTGGTCTCACGTTGCCCTCCTGTGCGCAGAGCCCAGGACCCCAGTCTGCAGCTCCAGCTCGTCATCGACTGATTCCGAGGGCGCCAGCCCGGTGCACGCCGCTGGCCCCGCGGGCGCTTACCATTCGGCGTCAGCCGAGTCCATGGACGTGATTCCCGTGGCGCAGACGCGCCTGGGCAGCGCGGCGCTGGCTGTCCCAGGGGGCAGGGGTCGGGAGCCCGGGCTGGCGCTGCAGGCGCGTGCGCCCGCTGTTTTCGTGAGCCGGAGCAGCGGCGAGCCCGGAGCGCCGGGCGGCCGGGAGGCCCGCCTGGCTTAGCTGGGCCAAGGAACTGAAGGGCCGAGGAGGAGCGGCCGGCCCGACTCTATGCAACATCCCACCCTTGCCGCACCGAGTGCACTTTAGGGGCCCCCACGGCCGGCGGGATCGGCCTCTTTTCCCCCACGACTTAGCAATACCCGCCCACCTGACCATGATGCTCCAATAAACTTTTTTATGCTTTTTGTGGATTTAGTGCTTACTTAGTGGCAAGGTCCATGGGCCCTTGGGCAGCCGAACTACTGTTGGTCAGTCTGGGGGCGGGGGTGGGTGGGAACTTGTACTGTAGTTTGGCCTCCCAAATTGTCATATGGAGGTACAGGCTTGGTGGGGGGGGCCTAGGCGCTCAGGTACCAGGCTCCAGGTTAGGCAAGGCCTTGGAAGGCTACCTGAAGGAGGTCATTTTTCTTTCTTTTTTTTTTTTTTTGAGACAGAGCCTCAAGCTATCCCCCTGAGTAGAGTGCCTTGGCATCACAGCTCACAGCAACCTCCAACTCCTGGGCTCAAGTGAGTCTCCTGCCTCAGCCTCCCAAGTAGCTGGGACCACAGGCACCGGCCACAACGCCTGGCTATTTTTTGGTTGCAGTCGTCATTGTTTTGGTGGGCCTAGGCTGGATTCGAACCTGCCACCTTAGGTTTATGTGGCTTGCGCCTTAGCCACTTGAGTCACGGGCGCCGAGCCAAGGAGGTCATTTTTCTTAAAGAAAAGCTAAATGCAAAGAAACTGAGGGAAAGCAGGCTTTGGGCTCCGGAGATAGCAGCGATAGCAGATGCTGTGAGGCCAAGGCTGAGGAGAGGTGGGAATAAAAGGAGGAGGCGACCTGGAAGGTCCAGGAGCTTTTTCCCCCGCGGCGGGATCGCCATCGGGGAAGCTAGCATTCTAGGGCTGGGCAATGCATGATTCGTTGTCCCCTCCCCTTAGAGCTCTAGCCTCAGTCGGGAGAACTCAGGAGTTGTGTCCTGGGGATGACACTCGTTCAGTGGGTAGCTGTCGTCTTGAGCCAATTGTAGACCCCTGTCAAGGAGAGAAGGGATTTTCCTGTCCCTCTTCATCTCCCCGACCCCCTTTCAGCTCCTAAACGGCCTCTAATTTGCTCTCAGGGAAACTGGGACTCCCCTGGAGGTGGGGGGACAGCTTTGAACTTTAGGCAGAGCCCAGGTGTCATCCGAGGACGGACAGAACCATAGAGGTCTCGCAGCCGGGAAGACCGCAGAGCTGCGGGGGAGGGGCGGGATAAGGCTGCAGCAGCAGCTCCGCCCCCGCGGATCCCGGAGCTCGGAGAGGGCGGGGTCTGGTGGGCGGGGCCAGCATGACCTTGGTCACTCTCCCGTCGAGACAGCCCTGGGGGTGGGACTCGCCGTCTCTATGGAGACCGAGAAACAGGGGATAATACAGAGGAGCCGCCCGGGCTGCAGTCCCGCCCGGGAGCCGGCAGGGAGCGGAGCTGCGGAGCCGCCTGGCCTCCCGCGTCCGTCGGTCCATTCCTGTGTCCTTCTGTCCATCCGAACGCGCACTGCAGGAGCAGACACGAGGTAGAAATCTGTAGGAGACTGGCACGCCGACCACCCTAACGAGTATCCTGCACGATAAGGGGGTGGGAGGAGCGGCCTGAAAGGGGTTCCAACCCCAGTGGTACCAGCTTAGCGGCCCTGCCCTGGCCCCAAGCATTCCACCCTCCAGCCCCCACCTCCTTGTCGGCTGATTGATGACTCCAGCTGTCCCAGCGGGAACGCGGGGCGGGTGGCCCCAGTTCAAGGGCGTGGCCACTCCATCCATGGCCTGCAGACCCCTGCGGCCTGAGGGAGCCTGGCTCCACCTGACCAGCGCTGGAATTACCAGCAATCCATCTTCCTACAGACAAAGTGAGCACTGGATGCAGGATCTTCCTAGTTGCTCGCAACAAGCATCCTGTGGCACTCAGGCTCCCCTGGACATTATCCTTGATGAACTAAGTGTGGTCTCCGGGTCCCTGGTGGGAGATTGCACCTAGGGGACTGCAGTGGGGCTTGGGTCCCACAGAGGTCCCTGTAAAGTAGGAGCCACAATCCCAGAAATTGCAATTTAGGGATAGGTGACTGTGTTACTGGGGAGGAATTCAGTGTCAAGGCCAGAAGTAGTGGGAGAGGGAGGAGCCAGGCAGGCTAAGGCTGTGGTCAGTGGAGACCCTACTATAACCAGTGGCACTAGAAGGTGGTAGCTGAAACTCAGGGTGTGGGGAGGAGGCTGCAGCAAAGGAATGGGTGTGGGTGGGTGGGATCTCAGCACTGTACCTGCAAGCCTGGCAATGGCAATGTATGAGTGTTGACACTGACCAGGGCTGCAGTGCAGGGCTGAATGGTCAGAGGTTGTGGATGTGCAGATGCAGGGGTGCTGAGGGTGTGGTCGGGGGTTTTGATAAACATCTGTGGGTATGTGGGGGGAGCCAGTTGCTGAGGCTGTGGCTGGGGTCTTGGTAAGGGCTGAGGGTGTGGGGACAGAGGGGGCTGCAGTGCAGGGCTGAGGGTGTGGTCCGGGAGGCTGCATACTGGGCTGTGTAATGTGGAGGGAGTTTCAGAGTAGGGCTGAGGGTGTGGGCAGTGGACCAAGGTGGAGGGATGTGGGGAGAGGTAGTGCAGGGCTGAGGGTGTTGTCGGGGGTCTCGGTTCAGGCCTGTAAGTGCATGTGTAGGGGGTAGACATCAAAGGAGAGGTCAGGGCTTAGCCCCAGAGCTGTGGCAGGCCTGAGGGTGTGGTCAGGGTACAAGGCCTAGGGTGTGGAGGGCCAGGGCTGAGCACATGTGGGCCCTGGGAATGTGGACTAGTGTGCTCAGGGTGTGGCTCAGGACCTCAGTGGAGGGCTGAGGTGTAGACGTGGGGAAGTGTGCTCCAGTGTAGGATCCTAGCTTCAAGGCCACAGTCCCACTTGCCAGCATGCATCTTGAGACTGATGATTCTACAGCTCCCACCCAGGATAGCCTCCATTCTCCTACTCTTCCTACACCCCACAGTGGGAGGTTATGGCCCCAATGGGTGGCAAGGGGCCAGGAAGCCATGGTTATGCCCCAGGCATGGGGAGTGCTGGCCTGCCCCACCCGTGGGCTCCCTGTTCCCTAGCCCAGCCCAGCCCAGCAGCACTGGGAGCTTCTCCCTGAGCTGCCCTGACACCATCCTGCCCTTAGCAACATTCTCTAAGCAGCCACCACCCTCCCTTAGCAACTGTCTCCAGGCTTCACAAACTGTGGCCAGGCCAGCCCCAAGCTTCTGCTCCCCTCATGTTTTTGTTTAACAGCAAATAGTAACAAGGCCAGTCTGGGCCAGCTGCACCTCTGCCTAGGGCATGCACCTCAGCCCATGCTCTGGCTCTCTTCTCAGGCCTGGGCTGGCTCTTGCTACAGAGACACTGTCCTCACTAAATACCTGCCCATCCAGCAGCCTGGCCTGGCCCTGACCCAGCTTGGTGTGGAGTTTCCAGGGAGGGGGCCTCTCTGCCACCCTCACTTCCACCCAAGCAGGCCTTGTGCCAGGGCCAGACAAAGCCATGGCCCCAGCTGCTGCCCTCACAGTCTTTCTGGACAGTGCCACTCTGTTCCCAGCCTGGTGTAGGCATCATGATTTCATCTGCTGAACCCTACTCAGAGCGAGGGCTGGCATCAGCAATAGGACCTTTCCTCTTCGGGCTCTTCCTTGGGGGTTTAGGGGCTAGGAGTGCAGGCCCTTCTGCCCAGGCAGCTCCAGCTCCAACTCTGAGTCTATAGAAGTGCTACCAGCTCAGATCTTGAAGGTTTTGAGGGAGAGGCAGCGATGTCCTATGCCTGGGGGAGGGAGGGGAACTGGGCTGGGAGGTGACTGAGGTGGGTCCCTACAGGGTGGCATGGCAGCGAGCACAGACATAGCTGGGCTGGAGGAGAGCTTTCGCAAGTTTGCCATCCATGGTGACCCCAAGGCCAGTGGGCAGGAGATGAATGGCAAGAACTGGGCCAAGCTGTGCAAGGACTGCAAGGTGGCTGATGGAAAGGCCGTGACAGGGACTGATGTGGACATCGTCTTCTCCAAAGTCAAGTGAGCCTCAAGCAGCCCCTGCTCATGTTCCAAGAAAGTGGGGCATGGGGGAGGGGGACCCAGGGAGGATCTTGAGAAGGGGGCAGGGAAATGCCAAAGGTCATTCTTCCAGAGCAAGAATCATTGATTGCATTCCATATGTGCTGACCCCTTTGATTTCTCCAAATGTGGGGAAGAAACTTGATTATATAATTTATGGTGGTTGGAGACTGCAGTTTCACCTTCCCCTGTTGGGGGGGAAGAATGGGGAACACTCACGGTGCCCACATGTCTGTCAGGGGAAAGTCTGCTCGGGTCATCAACTATGAGGAGTTCAAGAAGGCCCTGGAAGAGCTGGCAACCAAGCGATTCAAGGGGAAGAGCAAGGAAGAGGCCTTTGATGCCATCTGTCAGCTGGTGGCAGGCAAAGAACCAGCCAATGTGGGCGTCACCGTAAGTGCCCTGATGGTCTCTGGCGGCCCCGAGGGGGATGTGGGAGATGTTGGCTGTGGATGGGAAGGGCTGGGTTCACTCACCAGGTGCCCCGGGGGAACTCTGTCCAAACAGAAAGCAAAAACAGGAGGTGCTGTGGAGCGACTGACTGACACCAGCAAGTATACTGGTTCCCACAAGGAACGCTTCGATGAGAGTGGCAAGGGCAAGGGCATTGCTGGACGACAGGACATCCTGGATGACAGCGGCTATGTGAGTGCCTATAAGAACGCAGGCACCTATGATGCCAAGGTGAAGAAGTGAGCCAGGGAAGGTCTCCCTCCCCCAGCTAGGCTGCCCCTGCCAGAGGCTCAGGCTTGGGCCTGAGGGGCATATGGAGCGAGAGCCCAGTCCCCTTCCTGCTGGACCTGCCACCCAGAGCTTCCTGCCCAGACCCATGGGGCCAGCCCACCAGGCCTCTGACCCAGATTGCTCTGTGTTCCCTTCCTCCTTTTCTTTCCAACCTGACTTCTGTCCATCTGGGGACAGTCTGTGCCTATAGCCTCACTGCCCCAACCTGGCCCCGGGCATGGCTAACTTGTGCCTGCTTGCCTCATATTTAAGCTGCTGTTCTGGCCAAGTGCCTAACTCTCACCTAGACCTCAATAAAGACAACTTTTGTACCAATATGGCCTGACATATGATGATGGGGGTGGTAATGACAGTCACATCCCAGGAGCACCCTCAGGGTCATCACCCCACTGCATGCCTCACCCTGCTGGTCTCTCCCCCTTCTACTGGCAGCCCTGCCCAGAAAAATGAACACATGAGCCCTTTATTAGCACAGCCATTCTGTCCAAGGATGTGCCTCAGGGACATCCAAACTTTTCAATGTAGCCTTGACCCAGGGTCCGAACATCACAGATTGCTTTCCTATAGTTAGTGCCTCCCTCTGGAGATCTGGCCCCTCTCCACGTTCGCAGTGGAAAGAGGGATGAGACAGCAGATGTGGCCTGGGCTAGGCCTTAGTTCTAACCTTGCTGTCAAGTGGCTACCCAGTCATTCTGGACTCCAGCTCAGAACATCAGAAAATGCAGGGCCAGGAAGAACCTTAGAGACAGTCTGGCTCCCCAGTTTTATAGCTGAGGAATGAGGCCCAGAGAGTGGAAGGGCTTCTGCAGACTAGAGGCCAAACCATTCCTCTTGCCTCCCAGTCTAGGCTCTTTTTAGCACAGCAAGCCCCAACGCTGATTTCCAAAATTGGGGCTGGATGGCTAGTGATAGGGCCTGACACCGAATGCCAGCAGGGCATCCCATAGAGAAGGGGCCTCCCCTTGCTGATTTCCCCCCATCTGTTCAACAGTCTGGGTTGGGGGAGATGAAGGGCCCCTGTGGGGGTGAATCATTTCCAGAACATTTCACTGAGACTCTGGGTGTTAGATCAGAGCTATTTCCAAGCCCCAGGCTTTGAGACCATCTCTCCTTCCTTTTTCCTGTGACAAGGGGGCTAGGTGGGACTTGGGGCCTACCCAGGAGACGGTGCTCCCCAGGGTGCTAGAAAAGGCCTAAAAAGCACACACTCACAAATACCTTTCCTGACCCAGACAGCAGCACAACTGTTTATTCCCTCATCCCACAGGCAGTGCAGGGATGTTCCTGCCCCAGGTGGTCCCAAATCCCTTGAGCCCAGCCACTTAGGGATAGGGATATAGAGGAATAGTGTGGCTTGGGCTAGGGATACCAGGGAGGTCAGGCAGGAATTAGCAGGCAGCAGACCAGCACCCGGCCACTGAAGAGCCCGGCCTAACAGCTGACAGCCGTGCATTCCTCCTGACTCGGCTTGCCACATCTCCTTCCATTGGCCAGGGAAGAGAGTGAGAGAGCTCTACCTCTCCTCCATTAAAGATTAAGGGGGAACATTGCCTCTGTCCTTGAGGAATTTGTATGAATTCTAAGCTCTACAATTCTAAGCTCTAATGGGCTTAATAGAGATGAAAGCCAAAGCCTTTTAGCTTTCACTTACTAAATTAACCTCATAGTGAGATGAATTTAACTGTATTTCAAATAGGGTCAGGCTGCCAGCCATTAAACCACAGGTGACATTAACATCCAATGTGGAGAAGATAGTGGTGGCCCGTCCATTCCCGTGACTGGCAGTGTGGCTTGGAGGGACCCACAGAAAGAACTATTTGATAGGAAAGGCCCTTCCTATCAAGAACTGACTGATAGGAAAGGCCCTTCTTCTTGAAGACTTCTCTAGTCTGCAGAAGCCCTTCTACTCTCTGGGTCTCATTTCCTCTTCCTCCTATTAAGGAGCCTGTGGAAAATCAAGACTCCTCCAGAGCCAGGAAGACTCTTAATGACTAAATGGGTCTAGTACACTAAATGTGTCTGATACACAGCAGCCACGGTGCAGTAACACCACAGGTGCTGGGTATCACTGCTCCTCCCCTAACAGCCTCCTCAGGGTCAAAAGCTTTGGGTATACTCGCTAGCAAAGCCAGGCTGGGCAAGGAAGAGAGGTTAGGGTCTGTGCAGCCATTAAAAACCCTCTCTGGGGCTCGGCACCTATAGCTCAACCGGCTAAGGC